CAGGTAATAATTAACTAAATCTGTTAATAATTCCCAGAAAACTTAAATTGTAGAAAAGTCACTTATTAATGGATTGTTTACAATCTTTATAGTTTTTACAATTTTTAATTTGTATAAGCTAATTCAAATTTTTCGTTTGTTCTCCAAATTTATGTTCTAGGTCGTATTTTTAAAATTACAAACTTTGAATTATTTTAATGTAAATTTGAAAATCCCTACTTAATCCTATATATATTCGCGAATATATAATTCAATACCATTTTCCCTATATAAAATCCAATTACAACTTCAATCAGCGTGATTAGTTTACTTTGAACAAAAAACTAAATGGAAGGGTCAAAGGTTCATCCATAAAAGCAAACATAACTATTGCGATAGTTTATGGGAAGATTAAACTAATAAAAAAAAGGGGATGAAAGGGAAAAGGATAAAAGAAGGTGAAACAAACGGGAAAAATATGATCAATCCACTCTAGCAGTTAATTACAACAAATAAAAGCTTACAAGATAAAATCCCAAAAGAAAAAAATATAGGAAATAATACTGAAAGTGTGGTTAATTTCCGCAAATAAACAAACTTGGGAAAACATTAGTTTAATAAATTTTATGATTACCAATAGGAAGGATTAATATCATTTTTTAAAACAATACACTGAGAATAGAAAAAGCTTAACAAACTAAGGCTCATAAAAAAAATTATTAAAGATCCATTTTTAATGGATTAAGCATAGCGACTCTCTTTCAAAATAAAAGTTTAGTTATTCATAGAAAAAAGTATAATGTTTTTACATAAATAAATTCTCAATTTTAGATTTAACTCTTAATAAAATCTAATTTATTCTATTGACTCCAAACAGTCCTAGCATTCAATGGGAGATAATCCCAATAGTACAGATATATCAGTATCTGTAACTACTAAAAATTCCTTTTGGAATAAAAATGAAAGTGAGAACGCGCGGCTATCCGATGTAAAGCGCATGTATGATATAACGCACACTCTGGAAGAGGCAATAAACCGAAGTCTAAGACTAGTAAATAGACGCGCGACAAGCAATACCACCGCGATTAACGATATGGCAGCTGGGGTTAATGCAAATTTAGAGGTAATAAATAATCGCATTGATACGCTATCGCAAAAGGTAACCAAACTTGAAACAAACTTGGACATGAACTCCACTAATAACACGTTAGAATCGGCTAACCAAACGTTGGCAGATATTCAAACACACGAAGCAATTGACGATACAATTGTTGGTGAAGCAGACCAGATTAATATGATTAATGTACTTGAAAAGGATGGAATCATGTCCACATACAAGGATGAATCGGTAGTTACTTTTGATACATGGGCACAAAAATTTAAGGACCTTCTTGACTGTGCACCAGCAAATTGGGATGAGGCCACAAAATTGCATAGACTTAAATTCCATTTAGAGGGTACAACCAGGTCCATTTTTGATAAACTCAGGCCAAATGAAAAAGATACGGTTTCAAATGCTTTAACTGCTATTAGGTCAAAATTAGCAGCTCCACATAGGTTAGAAATTTCAAAAAGGGAGCTAATGATGTGTAAACAAAGAAATAATGAAACTGTTAGAGAATTCATGACTCGGTTAGTCCCATTAGTACGTGCAACTTTTGAAAATGAAACTGAAGCACAGAAGCAGGCCAAAATTCGCGAAGAATTTTTAGAGAGATTAAGGCCTAATATAAGCTTTCTAATTAGAATAGTAGGATCTTCCAAAGACCTAGATGAATTATACGCAAAGGCACAAGAAATAGAAGTATTAACCGCGACTAACGAATCGTTTTCACTTGACAACCCGAGGGGTTTAGCTAATTCAATTAACATAATTCAAAACCCTAAACTTCCTAAAACTAATATTAATTCCTGGGTACGAAATCCAAATCAGAATAATCAATATCAATCATCATCAACCAATAATTGGCCACAACGACAATATAATTCAAGTCAATTCAACACTCAGAAGCGAGACAACAACTACCAAAGACAACCTCAAAATAACTGGAACCAAACCAACTTTCAAAGGAGGAACCAATTTCAAAATAGGAACATGAATGATCGTAGATGGAGTGGTAGACCAGTGTGTCAACACTGCAGAAAGGTAGGTCATAGCTCTTATAATTGTTTCAGGCGAAATCCACCGACTACAACACAAACATGGCAAAATAATAGAAATTTCCAAATCCGAACAGACAAAATCAGAACCCAAATAAAATTCCACTCCCAATAAATTATGTGGAGCAAAATCATCAAAATTACTCTCAGGAAACCCAGTATATTCCTCATAGGCAAATTTACCATACCTCAGCATACCCAATAATTCAACAAATCCCAAACCCCGGACACCAAAATCTAAACATCTCGGAACTTGCAAACCAATTAGCTAAGCAATTAAGTCTAACTCAGGCTAATAAAAAAGACTCTGTAAATACAATAACTGAACATCAACCAATAATAAGTAAAGAAGTAGAAACCGAACATAAAGAACAATTAACAAACTCTAACTTGAAAGAAATGAAACCACAAAATAAAGCAGTAACGCCAAACGTAACTAACTGGGAAAGAATCTCAATGGGTCCCAGACTAAATCATATTTTCTTTATAGCTCTTATACTTTCAATTATAACAGCTATAGGCGCAAACAGTCCATTTCCGAAACAACCATTAATATGTCAAACAAGAGAACATGGATTATTATGGTCCCTCCCAAAATTTCCAAAATGTCCTGAAATTAAAAACCAACTTACAAAACCGCCAACCCCACAAACGAGACAAATTTTCGTACCTAACAACCTTGAATATAAAACTAAAGCATGGGCCTGCAGGAAAATAATTAAATCTATGGTTAAATACACTTCACTTTCCGGAGTTCCGATAGAAAAACCAGGGGAAATAAAATCATTGGAAATCTCACCCGAGGAATGTAAAAGCATGGTCGATCACAAAAAGTGCGAATTTGGAATTTTCCAGCAAGAGGGGGAACTGTTTCATACTAACAATAAACTAGATCTTACACCTAGGACTTGGCTTTTAGGTTCCTTTACGTGGCAGGAAGTAGTCTCTAAGAATTGTTATATATTTCCCACTCAGGTTCTTTCGCGATTTGGAGAGAAATCAATTCAAACTCCTTTTGGAGTAACCCGAAACTGCCCTTATGACATAGGCTCTTGCTCCCTTGATGATGACACTACTATAATATGGGTACCAGCACTAGGAAAGAATTGTGAATTTCTGTCAATAAGCCAACAAAATGGGCAAGTAGTCGATCATCTATGGGTTGCAGAAAAGGATCCGATTGCGCTATCTGACACAAAGCCTCTAAAGAAAATAAATGATTGTGATAGGGAAATAACTCTGACTGAGCAAGGTCTCGCTTATAGGGTAATAGGCTCCAAAATTAATCAGGCTCCAGCGGGAAAAAGGGTAAAGAGGGCCATTGAGGGATTAGTGACTTCAAGCCAATTGGCTGCAGAAATGTCATATTTAGAACTCCAAATAAGCAATTCCATGACATTCACATTTTCACACACATTTAATACTATTTGTAATTTAATGGAAGAAACCTGGAAATGGGCCGAACTAGCGATGTTAGCGGACCCAACAACGCTTGCAAGAATTTTATTTAAGGATTCTAACATTCACGCAGAGCGAAGGGGTACAAACTTAATAAAAGTCTGGCCATGTATAGTAATTCCCCACAATCACTTTCGATTTATCCCAACAGGTTCGCCACACCAATGCTTTGAATATCCACCCGTAAGCTTTTCAACTCATGGATCGGAACAGTCAGCATTCTTCAATCCTCACACAATGCAAATAATTCCAGAAGCAAAGAAATTGAACTGTGGACATGCACGGTCAATAATTGTTCAACTTGATAACGACACGTTTGAACTAGACCAAGTAACTGCCAGACTCAGAAGAATAGAAGCCCGCCCTCAAAGAAGCTTCAACCCAAGATTTGAAGAACTCCCAAAACTTTCTAGTCACTCTTTTCACCAACTGGTATTGATAAACATCACTGATATTAATCAACATACATACATGAGCAACCTGATAAAGGTGAGTGAAATTTCATACCAAATTACAAGCAAAGACCAAAAAATAGTAACCAAATTTTCAAAACCTTGGGAAACTGCTAGGGATGAAATTAGTCAACAAATATTTGGGGATTGGACTAAAGAATGGCGAATTTTTATAACTATAATAGCATGTATTTCACTCTTGGATTTTGTAATTAGAATTGCCCTAGTAATAATTGAAAGCTACGCAGGAAATGGGAGGCTAGGCAGAATATTATTTGGGACACTAACTCAAAACGCGTCAACTGTTAGGAAATTAAAAGCAATAGAGAAGCCAAGGCAGAGTGAACTTGAATTACAAGAAATTACACCCAAAATAGAAAGGTCAAAATTAACTAACTCCATTAGGTACACCCCCATAGCAAAACCACAAAGCAGTAGTGAATCTTCAATAATGCTCTTAACAGTTAATGATCAGTATAGACGCTTACCGATAATTAATGCAAAATTAAATAACTTACCAATCAAATGTCTTATAGATACAGGCGCAAGTATTACTGTAGCACCAATAGAGCGTGCGAATGTATTAGGTTGCACTCTAACTAGGTCAAGTTCTGAAGCAATAAGTGCATCTGGGCATGCGATTCAAGTAAATTACCAAAGCCAGGTGTTTATAACAATAGCTCAAAAAACAATAGAAATAACAATAAACTTTATAAGCAGTCAGACTTTTTCAAATAAGACATTTGATATTATTTTGGGATGTGACACTCTTGAACATTGGCCCTCAATCTCAACTGATTTAAAGAATAGGGAAGTACAGTTTGGGCGTACACCAATAAAAATGTCAGATCATCCTAACAATATGTATTTTAGAATCTCATCAGCTAACTCTATTTCTTTAAATCCCAATTCTCAAACAATAATAACAGGAACCATTGAAAATGAGATAGCCACTAACTCAACTTACATAATCACACATCTTGAAGAGAAAATGAGGGAGAAAAATATAGGAATGGTGCCCCTAGTAAATAACTCACAAAAGGGCATAATAAAATTTGTATTAACAAATCCAACACAGAACATAATAAACATTCATAAAAATCAACATATAGCACTCTCATCTCCACTAACTCTTGACTCAGTGAACCCTAATATACTAATAGAGACTGAACAAATAAATAATATATCACATGAAAATACTAAAATAATTGAGGACCCAAAGTTTAAGATAGATTTTACGCAGGCTCAGGTTGATCAAGAAGATTTAAATAAATTAAAAGAGTTATGTGAGGAATTTCATGATATTTTTAGCAAAAGTCAATACGACTTTGGCTCTTATTCAGATGGTCAATATGACATTATAACAGAGACTGAAAAACCAGTAGCGTCAAAACCGAGACGCACACCTTTCAGATATAAGGAAGAGTTAGAAAAACTCCCTGGCTCACCCCATTCGTTGTAGTTCAAAAGAAGGATGGGAGTATTAGGCCATGTTTAGACTTTAGGAAATTAAATGAAATAACAGTCCCTGACCACTATCCGTTACCTAGATTGGAAGTAATAATGGAAAAAGTAGGGAACTGTAATTTCTATTCCTCTCTGGACCTTGCTAGTGGCTATTTACAAATAAAATTAACGGATAACGCTTCAAGAAGATGCGGGGTTATAACTGAAGACAAAATATATCAAATGACGCATATGCCATTTGGTTTAAAAAACGCAACTTCCGTCTTTTGCAGAGCTATGACTAATGTCTTATCAGGGTTGGAAGATTCAGTTATATCATATGTAGATGACATACTAATCTTCACTAAGTCCCCAGATTTCTCCGAACACATCGATGTTCTTAGAAAAGTCTTTGAACGATTTAGACACTTCAATTTAAAACTAAAGCCGCAAAAATGTATATTTGGGTCCAATAAAATGCACTTTCTGGGGCATATTCTAGACGCAAATGGTTACAAACCCAGCCTTAGCAGAATCGAAATAATCAAAAATCTAGCCCCTCCTGAAAATGTAAAGGGGATCAAAAGAATAGTGGGAATGGCCTCTTTCTACCGTAGGCATATTCATGATTTTTCAACAATTGTTGAACCACTAACAAGACTTACAAAAAAAGATACACCTTTCGTATGGGGAAGCGAGCAACAAAGCGCACTTGACAAAATAAAAGAATTGCTTGCGCAGGAACCGTCGCTAATCTTCCCAAACTATTCAAAACCATTCCATATATTCACAGACGCATCGACGGTAGGGCAAGCCGGGGTATTAATGCAGAAAAATGAAAATACCGGGACCTATTCAGCCATCTCATATTGCAGTCGGACTTTAGCCCAATCAGAACGAAAATGGCCTCCAGTTCAAATTGAACTAGGAGCTATAATTTTTGCTCTTCGGGAATTTAAACCTTATATTTTTATGTCCGATGTCGAGCTACACACAGATCATAAACCCCTAGCTTATTTATTAAAGAAAGCTGAGGCACACCCACACCTTGCTAGATGGCTAATAGAACTCCAATCTTATCAAATAAAAATAGTTCATATAGCGGGAAAACAAAACTCGTTAGCAGACGCACTATCTAGGCTTAATGAAGAAGCACCTGAAAAAGTTGGAAACCTGAAAGAGTTGGAAGACATCGCAGAATTCCCAGTGTGCTTAGCGATAAAACCTAGTAGTAGATTAACAACAGATGAAATTATTAATTCAGTAATTCTAAGAGACAATAAAGGACAATCATTTACAGTAGATATTAAAACAGAACAAAGGGAAGATCCTGAGGCACACGCATATATAGACTTTCTAGAAAATGGTACTACCCCAGAAGGATTCACAGAAGCAGAAATTGCTAGTTTTGTTAACAGAGCTGCAACACTCTGTTTAGATTCAGACATTCTTTACTACAAACCTTCTGGTTTTAAAATGAGACTTTACATTCCAGTTTCTCTTAGATCCCTTATTTTTGAATCCTTTCACAATTCACCTCTAGGAGGGGGGCATCTCTCGGTTAAGAAAACAATAATAAATGTCAGAAATATTTTTGGCCAATGATGTATACTGACATAAATGAGTGGACAAAACAATGTATCACCTGTCAATTAAGACACTCTCCTACCCCAGCTTATAGGGCTGAAATGGCAACGGCACCTTCAAATACATTATTTGCAAAAGTAGGGCTAGACTTGGCCGGACCATTCCCAGTCACAGAAAAAGGTAATAAATATATATTAAATATAATATGCTGGTTTACAAAGTACATAATATCTGTCCCTGTACCAGACACAAAATCCCAGACAATAGCAAAGGCATTTTTGAATGAATGTTATCTTAAATTTGGGGGTTGTACTGAACTAATATCTGACAACGCAACGACCTTTACCTCAGAGTTCTTTAAGGAATTTTGTCACATGCTTTATATAAACAAAAAATATGCTATTCCAAACTGGTCCCAAGGTAATGCGATAACAGAACGAACGTTTAGAACATTTAATAACATACTCTCTAAATACATAACTAAAAATCAGCCTAATTTTGATGAATTTTTGAACTTTACTAATTTCTGCTATAACACTGCGGTACATAACACAACAAATGAAACTCCATTTTATTTAATGTTTGGGAGAGACCCGATTTTTTGCGTTGACCAAATATTAGATCCAAGAGTCCGCGACCCAATAGCCTTTAATGACACTGCAGAATTCAAGCAATTGCTTGTTACGTCACTCAGGGTAGCCTGGGAATCAGCAGCAGAAGCCCATAAGGAAGCTCAAATAAAAATGAAAGAGCAATATGATAAACATACAAGGGTTTCGACAATTGAAATAGGGGATAGGGTGTTAATCCGCAACTACGCAGGAAAGCCCGGAACTTCGAAGAAGTTCCACCTCCCTTGGAAAGGCATATATCGAGTAATAAATATAGAGGGGATATACGTCACAATAACTAGTTGTAATTCGCCACAGGCTAACCCAAGGAAGGTACACATAAATCAGATTAAAAAATGTTTTGAATATCTGGGTCCAGTTTGTACAATTCCAGGGTTATCACAAGAGGAAAAAAGTTCTTTAAAAAGTGCAGAAGCTATAGAAAGTGAACATACCCCGGGATTTGATCACAACATAAACACTGATTCCATCCAAAATACTAATCATGCTGATAATAAGAGTCGAAACAATACCGAGTGTCAAGAAAACCCAAACACTCACAGATACAATCTAAGGCCTAGAAATCCATAAATATACCATCATTTTATCGCGAATTATCTCAATATAATTTTAACTAAAATCTTTATCTCAATTTCAGATATAATAATTAAAAAAAATCTATTATTAATTCTTTATTAAAAAAAATGTCTTCAAATAATTATGAATTAAATGCCTTCTGGCATAATAATGAGAGTGAGTGGAAGAACGAGCTTCCAGTGGTTACGTTGAAAATGGGAGGTAAAGCTTATCCTTTCTTAGGGCAGCTCCACCCGTTGTCAAACTTTTTCTATGCTCCACTGGTATGGAAAAACTTATCCTTTGATTGTGTAGAGCAGGCGTATGTGTGGGAAAAAGCTAACTTCTTCGGTGATATTGTTAATGCTAACAAGGTAAAGTCGTTAAAACATTTGGGTGGGGGGTGTAACAATAAAATGCCTTCTGGCATAAAAAAGAAAGTTCATCCACGGAATTATAAATGGATTGGCAAAGAAGTAGTGGGGGATTTGAAAATACAGAAAGAGTGGTCCAAGGTAAAAGAGACGCTTATTGAGGAGATAGCGTTCGAAAAGTATAACCAGAATGCGGAACTAAAGCGTCTCCTCTTGAGTACAGGTGAAGGGTGGATATTAGAGGCCAATCCAAGAGATAGTGAGTGGGGAGTTGGGTATGGTATGAATGATCCTATTCTGGAGCAGTTCACGCCAGAATCGGAGAAATTCGGAACAAATAAAATGGGTAAAATATTAATGAAAATCCGGGCAAGGTTAAGTCAGGTGGAACTCCCAGAGTATGAGGATATGGACATAGAGTCGGTGTCATCTGACACAGAGACGAGCGAAATTGAAGTGCCTTCTGGCATAAACAAAAGTGTCGAGTATGAAGTGCCTTCTGGCACAAAAATGAAAAATATTTTACAGTCGTCGGGTCGTGAAGGGGAATCTTCAGGGGTCTCAGAATGGGTTAATAAAGATAGTGGTTGGGACCAGCCTTCGAGCTCTCAGCAGTCGGAGCGAATAAATCCTGAAGACCTCCCAGATGAGGCAAGAATTACGTCTTCAACACCGGAACCGGCTCGTGATGATGAAGCTGTGTTAGGTAAAGGTCCATTAAGGTACATGATCGCCAGAGCCAAAGATGGAGAGTTGATTGGTGCGAGAATATCAGGAAAAGGTCCGTTCTTCACAAAAATTCCTGAAAATTTGGTGGAAGGGGGACACCGAAAATTACAGTTGGGGGATCTTGTTGAGGTAGGTGAATGGGAGGACAGAGAGGGGTATGAAGTTTTAGGTAAATTGGCGGCAAATGGACCGAATGACCCTGCTGCCCAAGGGCGTTACCCCCCGTGGTTATTTTCAGGAACAATAAACTATCAGGCTACCGCGACTTCGGCAACAGTTGAATTAGTCAGAGAAGCCCCAAATTGGTTACCAGCCTTAGTAGTCTCGGTAAACATTAACAGAGCAAGGGGTACATTTAAATCGGCGGAGCTAATGGCACCGGATATGCTTCGTAGCCAGGTAATTAATTCCAGACAACTCACAAATATTCACCACGAAGACCTACGAACCGGACACTTTATCGAGGTAAATTTGTGTGCAATTAATTCCCCACAGATATGGAGAATGGGTTCCTCATATATTCTACCTGAGAAAACTCCATTCCGTGTCGGTGATGAAGTATGGGCGCACCAGAACTGGATTATTATCGGAGCTAGACCATTGTCAGAACAGATTTCCTATCCTCTTCGAGCAAACTTTTCGTCGTCTAGGGTAGGTTTAACATTAGCAGCAATGTCAGCCGTTGTTGCACACCAAAGAGATGTTGAAGAACGTCGGTTAATCAAACATTCAGTCACGTCTATTCTTCATTGGTTAGAAGATGACAAAGCCAAAAAGAAGACCGTTGACAAGACCCTATTGTTGAGATTCTTTATCCACACAAAAGACCTTAAAGAGCTTCAAGGTTATTGGAAAACTTACGAAGAAGATTCTAACGTACACATAAAAAGACCTGATCATGATACTAAAGTTTGCGGATATGGCGAAATAAGACAGGCCAGGAAAAATATAACTCGAGATGGCTATAACATGGAAATTGTCATGGCGGCCCGCTTTCAAGACGCAAAAAATTACGAACGGGGCTTTGACGATTGGCATGACTTAGTAACCAGTGAATGGGAGGCTAGAATAATACCGATTTCCAACACAAAAATGCTACACCGAAGGGAGCTGACTCTCATGGACGGACTTCCCTGGTCGCTTGCCCAATCTGATCATCCCATTGCCCCAATTGCAAGTGCTCTCTTAGGTCGTGAGCGTAGAGATCCGCCACCACCTCAACACATCGGAGGTTTTGTAGATGAACACCCGGCCCTTCAAACATTAAATGAGCAACAACTTCTCACTGTTGCGATGTTCCTGGATAACCGACCCAGAGTAATATTTAATCAAGCCCCGCCAGGAACGGGTAAGACCTGGGTATCGGGGGCGGCAATAGCGGCGACACTCCAACGGGACCCGAAAGCAGTCATATTGGCCACAGCACCTATAAATGTAGCTGTTTGTGAGCTTGCCGAAGACACGGACAAGGCAATGAGAATGGCTGGCCAACAAGTTCCTATGTTGGCCATCTTCTCAGGTAATGGAAAGGCCCGATATATGGAAAGAATCAGACAGGTGGGTGAACATTTAGTTGTTCATAGAGTGAAGGATGAAGACATTCGGGAGGAGTTGATGAAGAAAAGCGGTAAATTGATTCAAAAATATGAAAGGGATTGGGAAAGGGCGCCAAGAAGGGCTCAAGAGCGAGCAGCCTCATTTGAGGTAAGCCAGCTTAAAAAGTTTAGAGTGTTTTTCATGACCATGGCTTTGGCAGAAGAATTCCAGTCATTTCTAGACGCAAGCATGGCAAGCCCGCGTGAGAACAAGTCTGTAATAACACCTACCATAACTCATATGGTGGTAGATGAAGTTGGACAGTGCCAGCACAACGCCATTCTTTCCACAATCTGCCAGTACAGGAATCTTCGCAAACTTTTGCTTACTGGCGACTACTTGCAGTTACAGGTTTATACCCTAAGTCAGCCACAAGTAGTGAGAAATAAATGGGCAATGAACTCAATAATTGGAATCGTGCAGGACTACGCAGGTATTAGTAATAATAGACTCGTAGTATCTTTCAGGTCACATCCCAGTATTGTGCGATGCCTAGAAGCCAGTGTCTATAGACCAGCAGGAGAGCAATTCCGCGCGGGACTTACAGAAGCGCAGAGGAATTTACTCACAGACGAAATTGGTATAAACCTTCCTGTTCAGACCTGTCCCATAGTACTCATACATCAAAACACCATGACCATGCAGGATGCGACTTCGTTCTCGTTAACTAATCCTGGGCACACTGAAACGGCCATGGCCTTAGTCGACATATTAAGCCAGCCACTACTCGCCAGGCGTAAGAGAATCTTAGTAATTTGCTTCTATATGGCTCAAATGGATGTGATAAAAGAACAATTGGAGGCAAGGCAAGTCAGGAATGTAAGCTGCTCTACAGTAGACAGCATACAAAGTCAAGAGGCGGATATAGTATTGCTTATCACAACAAAGACCCGAACTGGTAGCGCCAAAAAAGTTGAGGAAGAAACGGCAACATTCTGGACTGATCCTCAACGCTCAAATGTTGCGTTATCCAGGGCGAGGTTTGGTCTATTTATTATAGGTGATCTCACGATTCTGTGCAAACATGGAGCTGTCTGGTCGCGGTTCATTCATGAAGCTAGAAGCCAAACAGTTGTTGTCGTGCCGGAATACGTAAGATTAATGCTAAGTGGAAATACTCAGAGGGTAGATGGGGTTTTAACAGATTTTCAGGGCAGGATGCCAGTAGCTGAAGACCATTATGCAGAGGTAAAACACCCAAAAGGGGCTGATTTCCTGGACACTGCGATGAGAGGGTACGAGGCAAGAATGGAGGTAACGGTACCACCCCAGCCTTCTCCCTTAAAAGGGGTAGAGGCCCTTCAGATCTCATCACCCAATTTTCAGGCTGGTCCTTCTGGAATCTCTGGTCCTTCTGTGCCCTTAGGAAATGCGCCAATACAAATGCCTTCTGGCACCTCAGCACCATTTATTCCTCAATATGTCCAACCTCAATTTGGAATGGCACCAGCGATTCAACAGCTTTCTGGTCCATCTCATTTGCAGGGAGGTTTTTAAAATATATATGAGGGTAGGTGGGAAGGTCAACCGGTAGTAAGTCACCCACATCTAATCCAATACACTCCTATGCAATCTCAGATATGCCGTGGTTGTACGAGCACAGTGCCTGGGCAGCACGCTGTTACATGCCAATTCGAATTGTGCCCAATGTGCCCAACAACTGAACCTCACATCAGAGCCAACTGTCCAAAGAGGCCTTGTGAGTTTTGTTATACTTTGGGACATAAATTTGAAGAGTGCCCGAAGCGAATGGAAAGTTGAAGAAAATAAATAAAATAATTTTTAAATTTTTTTTAAATTTCTTTTTCATATTATGTATATACCCCAAAGGTAACGAGAGCGAAAATCAGTAGGACTAAGAAAAATTCTACAAACGCGCGTGCGCGTGCAAAAAAAAAAATTTTTTTTGTGTGTAAAATAATGGCTTCCTGAACCCTAAAAAAAAAAATTGTAAATATTAATTGTGATACAAATTTTTCCCCAAAAAAAAATGATGAAAAGAAGAAAACAGAAAATAAAGAAGTCTAATCACAAAAAAAATAGAGAACACAAACAACATATAAAAAAAACTACAACAGCAAAACATCAAAATAAAATAAGTTATCAAAAAATTGTCATCGTCAAAAAAAAAAAGCATCTTATTTCGGTGGAAGATCTCTAGAATAGAGAACCGAACTTCGTTAAATCGTCACAGGAATCTTCAAAATTTAAAAGTAATCAACATGACAAATTATTCAAAAGCAAATCTTCAAAAAACATCATTGGACAACAGACCGAGGACGGTCTACATATAGTAAAGAGGCAGCTGTAGCGCAAAAAGATGAAAATATTCAAATCCCGTCCTTTCACAAAAAATTGTTTTATGTTATAACAATATTGAAAAAGGGTTGTAGGTTTCACTAAATTCTTTAATTAACTGAAACTGAACCAACAACCCTATCAGTGATTTAAAAATAACCCCAAATGTTACACTCTCGCATCCAAAGAAAATAAAAAAAATGATAAATGCCCAAGAAAAGATGTTCCAAAAAAAGGAACCACAAAAAGAAGGCATAATAGGACAAGAGAGAGTGAAGGGAAGCCATTAAACTTAAAAATTAGATCGAGGACGATCTACTGTTAGGGTAAAGTTGTAAGGCGGAGACTTAAATTGCAAATCCTAAAATGTAAAAGTCCCCGCCTATCAATTTATCCTAGCATAAAAGCGAGCGATAAACAGTTATAGTGAAGTTCAGTTGAGATTCACTTGGGGTTCAGTCAGCATTCACTTAAGGCTTTAAATCAGCGAGCAAGCGTATTCCTCTCTTTAGTTGAAATAAAGCTATTTAATCTTCAATGTAATCTTACAATAAATAAAATGAAAAGGGAAATAAAAGCGCTTATAATATAAGTCCCTGAATATCTAACATGCTCTCGTTACTTATTATGTTATTATTAATCGAAATGTATTTTACCTTTATTATCATATTTGTCGCGCTTATCTTACATTTTATATTATTCAATAAAATTCATATTTCTCTTCTAAGGTCCTTCTGGACCACAAATGAGAGTTTGAGAAAGAGAGTGAAGAGAGCGATATCGTAGACTCCAAAAGGATAGAAAAGGAATGCACCACTGCGTTTGAGAAGGGACACCTCTATAGGGACTGGGACCAACACACTTTACTTAATTAATTAAATTTACTTCTTTTCCCATTGAATAATCATAAGCAGTTAATGAAACAATAGGAATACCGTCTTTCTTCATTTGATGAAGCTTTGGTATTGTTATTAATTTTGGGATATTAGAATTATTTTTATAAAGTGATATATCATTACCATTCGACATTTTTATAAGAATTTATTTTTAAAGGGAAAATTTAGAAAATAAAGAAATTCATGCGTTAAAAGATTATTTAGGGCCTGCTAATTTTTAATAAGTAAATAAATTTTAGGTATGTGAAACTCACTCCACTTTTGTTTATAATAAATAATACATGCCACTATCAGATAAATACTTTTTGGTCGAGAGTTTTCTTAAGATAAGACAAGAAAACCTATTTATTTAGGGATTCCCCTATCACAGATAGCAAAGTACAAAAACCATCTACAATGTTCTGACGTTTAATATTTTCCTAATGTTATCTTCAAATGTTTAAGTGATGAATAAATTTTTTAAAATTAAATTTCTCATACAATGCTAGAAAAACTTGTAGTAAAAACAAGTTTGAAATAGTACTTATTTTTAATTAAATGTAGAGATCAGATTATTTGAAAATTTGATCGAAAAATTTCGAATACTTCAAATTCAAACTTTAACAAAGTTTTTTGTAAAATCGAAAAATTTTGAATCAAAATATTTGCTAATACTTTGAATTCGAAATTCTTAAGCATAAAGAATAAGTGTTATTAGAATAAATTTAACAATAAATATTTTTTAATTTTATTTTTATAAAAATTATTTGTTAAAATACAGACGAAAGTGATTTCAAACTTGCAGAAAATAACGCTCCCAATGATTATATTTTAGTCTTATTCAAAAGCCCTTGAAATTTGCTAATAGATAGCAATAATCTTATTTTTCAAAAAAATTTCGCTGAGATACAGTCTGTTAAACTTAAGAATGTTTTTCTGAAAAATTATATGCGCAATGATTAATTGCATGAGCGCAGTTGAATACAATTTTTTGTAAATTACTTGTATAACGAAACCTACATATTACCAATTCTCTGATTTTACTTAACTCATATGTAAATAAACATTATTTAATTTATTAAATTTCCCAAATGATGAAATTAATTTTTATTTAGAATCAAGTTTTTAAAATTTATCAAAAGAGAATAATTAAATAATAATTGAAAGAAAAAGGATTTCTATCAAAGATAATTTAAAGTTTCAATTATTATAAAAAGTTTTGTGAAAAAATATTCAATGCAATTAACCTTTCATTTAAATGCAGGGCTCGGATCTCGAATAGTAAAAATTCCTAATTTTAGCTAAAAATCAGAATCTTATTCAAAAATCGGCAAAAAATTTTTTGGCGCCTCCTGCGCCAAAAAATTCACTTTTATTCTAAGAACTCATAGAAAATATATTAAATCCTCATAATCTTCAAAAGATCTTCACATCTTCCTGATCTTCACATTATTAAAAATAATCCTCATCGGCATATCAAAAAAACCACAAAATGAGGCAAAAAACAATTTCGAGCCCTGCTTAAACTAGTTAGACAAGAAAATTATATAAATTAACAGGAATATGTAGAATAATTTAGGAGAGATTAATCATGTTTTTGCTTAAAAACAATTATAATCACAAAGAAAATTTCCATAACTTCTCCAAAATTTAGGTTTTTCTCCGATTCAAACAGGCTATTTTTCTTCCTTCAGATTTTGTTTTTCTTGTAATTCTTTTGTATGTTTGGAATATCTTTTCCCTTCAAATTTGGGTTGTGATGATCTATACATCATTTTACGGACTAAAAATTTAAGAACATTATCATAATTTAAGATATTTAATGTTATTATTTTAATATGTAGAATTTTTAGAAGCTTTCAATTTTAAAACTGAAATAGGCTATAGGAGACGAACTTAAATTCAAAATATATAACTTCGATTAGTCTGAGTTGAATCGAAAAAAGTTGAGTTGAAAAAAACTCTCCGAACTGAGTTCGAGTATGTTATTCCTTTCTAAGAAACATGATTAGACAAAGTTATGATAGTTTGTTTTTACCCTTCATATAAGTCTTACGTGGAAAATGTTTGGCTAAACTAGTTTTCGGTCCAGGCTCAGAATTTGACGATTTATATGTCATTCGAAAGAGCTCGTCGAGCTGAGTTGAACGACACCAAAATTTGTCAACGGGAACAACTCTGAGCCGAGATACAGCACCCTAAATTTCGAAAAACCATAGGGAAGGGGGGGGGGACCAAGCACTCTTTTGGGGGTGAAAAATTCGAATATGCAAATTATATACAGCACAAAAACAGTTTTTCCAGCGAAGATTCTGTTGATTATAACTTTGTTCATAACCACCAACCAAGTTGATTTTGATGTTATTCGACTAATTTAAGCTCAAGGAGCCGCCAAATGAGATTACATTTGTATAATCGAATTTTTCACCCCAAAAATCAGCTTGGTCCCCTAATAGTTTTTATATATTCGGAAGCTTGCACATATCTTTGCTAGTTTTCGTCTCCTTGAAAGAATATTACAGATTAAATCTCGGCTCGGCGAGAGGAGTATTTCGAATCTAAGTTCGCACTCTTATGTACTACAGTGACTCCTTGTATACATCCTTTTTTGCTGCCTTTGATTCTTTGATTTCCGTTTGCAGATTAATATTTATATCAGAATCTTCATTATATTTCTTTGATGATGAACTCATTTCTTTTTCATCAGTTTTTATTTGTATTATTTTATTTCCATTCAATTTTTCTTTTCCTTTTAAAGAAATACTTTCTTTTTCCTTCAAAGAAATTTCTTTAGAAGCTTTAATATTTGCATTTTCATTAATAACAATACCTTTATTTTTTTTAACCGATTTATCAATATTTTTTTCCTTCAATTTTACTTCATCCTTATCATCATCACTGTCATCAAAGGCCTAAAATATTTTTGAAATAAAAATAATTTACATGTAAACTACTTTTAATAATATGTAACCGATGTAAACCAAGATGGAAACACCTAATTTTATGTAATAGCCCCAAGAACACTACCCATTATTCAACCGTTACATAAAGAGTGGATTTATTTAATTGGAGATATAGGAGAAACTTAAATTGGAGAGACTTTATTTACCTTTTTAATTAGATCTTTAAGCTTATTTATGTTTTGATTTTTTTTTCATTCATCTTTTCACCCAGTATAGTGTTGAATTCCTCACCACGAATATTTGTTAAAAAATTAACTTTATCTGTTTATAAATTTTGTATTTTTATTAAATTACGTTAATGTGATAATATTTTTAAATAAGTTTAAATAATATGATAACTAATTAAGTAAATGAAATGGAGAATAGAAAGGGTATTATTCAAAAGAGGACAATTATTTGAGGTTTGAAATTTGAAAATGATGTAGGGCATTTGGGGAGGGTAATTATTTTTCGAATTCTCAATATCTCGGAAAATTAATAGAGGGGTAACTATTCGAGTGAGTGTAGGTAATCAAGCAAATAAGGTATAATAATTCTATTTTATATTTGTCACCTGAATCTCTATTATTATATGCTAAAATTGCTAGAATATTTAATTTTATTCGTTCAAGAAATACTTCATCCAAACTATAATCTAAATCAACAACTAAGCTAATTAGCTTTTGTAAATGCATTTTATGGTTGATTTCAATAGGTGTTTCTTTTTTATATTTACCACCCTTCTTCTTAGTATTCTGTTTAGATTTATTCGTAAATTCTAACATAACATTATGCAAAGATGTAGGATTTTTCAGTTTCTCCAAAGCATGATTTTTTGTATTTAGATATACCTCCTAATTTAATATTATAAAATAGGTAATCTAAATCAATCAGGTGATAATGTGAACCTAGTGTAATAGTGTTACCCCCCCCCCCCCCCCCGTATTGGTTTTAAACTGCCGACAACGGTCCATTGCATATTTCATTCCATCTTTTGGACTTTTTCGATGCATACATATTTAGAACTTTTTTGATAAAATTAAAAAACGCATGCAAAATACGGTACCATAGGCTCAAAAATGCAGACCTATGTACTTAAATTTTTATATAAGTGTAAAGTTTATTTGATCTGCCATCATTATTTGCCATTCTTTATCCTTTAAGAAAGCAGAAAGTAGAGTCGACAAAAAAACATTTGCGTACAACTATTTGCGGACATGTGGGAAGAAAACCGGAGAGTACCTTTAAAAGTAATATTTTATTTTAGTAACCTCAATTAATTCTTTTTCATAATTCGCATCTTCTATGTTTCCATTCATTATGCCTTTGTTCCAAAAATTTTCGGAATTTTTATTCCAAAATTTATCAATAGAATTTACTTCCGATTCCTTTTTAGGTACTTTATGGATATGTCACCCCCCTCCTATTTTGAGTCTCAGAGTTTTCCTTAAACGTAAAAAATGGTCAGAGATGGCAATCATTTCCATGGCAATCATTTTTTCTTCTTCAAGTATTTTGCTTGTTTATTTTGCCTTTTCACATATTTTGTACTTAAATTTCACTCATTTCGTTTCTACATTTACCACATTTCACTTATTTTGCTTGAAAAAAGAAAAATGATTGCCATGGAGAAGAAAATAATCTCTGACCATTTTCTACGTTTAAGGAAAACTCTGAGACTCAAAATAGGAGGGGGGGGGTGACATATCCATAAAGTACCCCTTTTTATTTTCTAAATTAATTTAGAAAAACAATTTTAAAAAAATAAAAAAACTTTTATATTGGTCTATCCAATCTTTAATTAGATAATTGTCAATAACCATTTTCATATGCCATTTCTCTACTATACTTTCTGTTGTAAAATAATGTTTGTACATGCTGCTATAAAACAAGTCCAGACATTCATATTTCTTAAAATAAAAAACTTTTGAAATTCTCAGACAGTTCGCGATCCGATGATTATTTCCGACCAAGTTAATTCAGAGAAATCCTGGTCCGGCTCAGTTTACGGGTTTTCTTATACAATTCCGGTCCAGGAGCCACAACTAGAAGTCTACATACCTTCCAAAATTCTGTGCTAAAAATTCTACGGATTCAGTATCAATCCTTTTGGAAAATTCTGTCTTCTTGTACATTTAAATTTTTAAAATTTTTGCATGAGGCGCTAATTTAAGAAATCTGGGTTTCCTTCGAAAACTAATCCCAGGATTTCTCTGTACGATATATTTCAAATGTGCGTGGGCCATATACTGAATCTGAATCAGATTTTCGATAAAATTCAGTAAATTTATTTAGATTTTGTAGCGTTATAGAATTTCAAAAACTTTGTTTTTCCTCGAACCTCGGACCTAGGCCCAAATTTGACCCTGACCTCGGTTTCTAGTCTCGGTGATCATCGATCTAGGTTTTTACGTAAAACCTCGACCTTGCGCAACTCTAATTACAATTCATTATTTTTATTAATTAATGTTTATTGAAATTTTATTATGTAATAATTTTAAAATATACAAACAGGAATAAGTAAACCAGGAAAATATAAATGGACAGTAAATGCCTTTGCTTTGCCAAAAACACCTCCAATTCTTGCAAGTAATTTTTCAGAATTTAACGATCTAAGAAAATAAAAATTATTATCTATTTATTAGTGTTTCACCGGAACCGAAATTTTGACCGGAACCGGAACCGGATCCAATTTAAGTTCCGGTTCCCGGAACCGGAACTTTTCAAAGTTCCGGCCCGGAACCGGAACCGGAACTTTTAAAAAATTTTTTGCTAGCACATTTTAAAAAATTTTTATTTTAAAAAATTTTTATTTTAAGCATTCCCTGGACATCACACAAAAATTTTTTGCTAGCACATTTTAAAAAATTTTTATTTTAAAAAATTTTTATTTTAAGCATTCCCTGGACATCACACCCAAATCCCTCTATATTACCTATAACCCCTTGAACTCACATAATGTAACTCAAAATCCACCTTCATCCATCCAAATCCTTCAATTTACCATACAACTTCCCTTCATAGCGCCGCAGGCGAAAATTTTGGGATTTTAGGTGAACCAAGGATACAAAATTCTTCCTTTTTGCGCCGCAGGCGAAAATTTTGAGAATTTGTGTGACCAAGTAGCTAGATTTCTTCCTTTTCTGGCGCCGCAGGCGAAAATTTTGAGAATTTTGGAAGGCCAATCGGGGAAAATATTGCAAGGCCAATCCATATTTCTTAAAAAAAACTAATCCTTAGGGGTGTAAAAAAGTTCCGGTTTGCCCGGAACCGATTTGTAAACCGGAGCCGGAACCGGAACCGGAACCAATTTGAGTTCCGGTTCCCGGAACCGGAACCGTAACCAAAAAAACACCGGAACTTTCCGGAACCGGAACCGGAACTTCCGGTGAAACTCTACTATTTATATATAAGGGAAATGGTTGAAGGATCCCGGGAACTCCTCGGTATCCGGATGTATTTCTCATCCGGATATCCGGCTTTGTCAACCATATTAGGATTACTAAAATTTATATAAAATACAACTAATTAAGCATGTTAAAATTTTGAACAAAATATTCAAAGTATTTTAAAATATTTAAGAATAATTTAATATTTACTTTATATATTCTTGAAATGATGGACGCTTTCGTAAGAAATAATAAATGAAAACTATAAATGTAGCTTCTTCAATTAATTCTTTATTATCTAAAGCGATTTGAACTGATTTTGAATATGATGAAATTGAGCATTCTATCGGTGTTTCTCTTTCCATATTTTTGTGAATATAATGATTATAACTCTGAAGTAAAAGAAAAGTATAGCAATAGCAGTAATTAGAAGACATGTAATAGCCAGTCAGGTAGAATATACCCCTTTAATAAATTTAATAATATTTAATATGAACGTAAACTCCTTTTAATTACTGTTTCACTCTCTCGCTAGGGGGAATTGAAAAATGGCAAAATTAGAGTTTTGAAATTTGAAGATCGAATAAGGCACTAGTTGGAGCAGACATTTACATAGAAGTTTTTGAGGCATTTGGAGAGATTAAGTTCCAATTTCCACTAGCGTGGCCATTAAGTGAAAGGACACATTTAATTGGTAATTATTCATCATAAAATTACTCACGTCATTATATTACTATTTTTATGTTCTGGATATCTTTTTAAAAGTATTTCTATCATATAAAAATTGCTTAAAATATTTATTTGGTCATTTACTCGATTAATTGAAACTCTTTCGGTGTACGGAATTTTCGTCTCTGGAAATTTCGTCTCCAAAACTTTTCGGAACTTTCGTCTCCATCATTTTCGGAATTTTCGTCTCCAGCGGAATATTCGTCACCAAGGAAATAATCGGAATTTTCGTCTCCGCAATTTTCGTCTCCGCTAGGAATTTTCGTCTCCAGAGGAAAACTTACCAGTTGACGGAGCAACTTCCCCCGTTGTCAGGACAACTTCCCCCGCTGACGGAACACTATCCCCCGTGTCGGAACAACTTCCCCCGTTGACGGAACAACCTCCCCCATTGGTGGAACAACATTCCCGCTGACGGAACAACTTCCCCCGTTGTCAGGACAACTTCCCCCGTTGATGTAATAACTTCCCCGTCAACGGGGGAAGTTGTTCCGTCAACGGGGGAAGTTGTTCCAACACGGGGATAGTGTTCCGTCAACTGGTAAGTTTTCCTCTGGAGACGAAAATTCCTATCGGAGACGAAAATTGCGGAGACGAAAATTCCGTTTATTTCCTTGGTGACGAATATTCCGCTGGAGACGAAAATTCCGAAAATGATGGAGACGAAAGTTCCGAAAAGTATTGGAGACGAAATTTCCAGAGACGAAAATTCCGGCACCCACTCTTTCAGTATCATCTGCTTCAAATATAAATTTATATTTCTTTTCCAAAATTTCAAATGTAACATCATCATTTAAAGGATTATAGCAAGATTTACTTTCTTCAAGAATTTGACAAAGAACTATAAATTTAATATATTTTTGTGTAATTTATTTAAATGCTAACAATTTTTAATAGAATTTGGAAATTGTAATGGATTGGGTAGTGCAAAACTTGAAGTATTTTGAAGAAAAATAATTAAAAATATTATTTTCTTCATTGAATTTCTTTTAAAAATTATAAAACTGAATTATAACTTTCTTTGTTAATAAAAAATAAATTTTCAATGTTATATTTAAATTAAAAATTATGTATATTTATAAACATATTTATAAGAAAATGTATTTATTTTTAAAGAGCTGTGTATATATTTTTAAAGACTTTCATAATTAAATGCACTTTTATTTTTTTATATTTTCTCACGTGAAAATTTGCCCTTTTAAAAATATATGTAGTTTGTAAAATAAAAAGAAAATTAAAAAAATTAATTAATAATTTAATTAATAAATGTCAAATAAAAACTGTTATTAATAAATGTCGCAAGAGCGGGCTTTGTATAATCAAGAGGCATTACCTTGTAAAAATATTAAAAAAAATTACTCATATAAAACATTGTAAAAACATTATTAAGGATTTATTTTCTGAAATTTATAAAAATTTTAAATACAAAAGATCCCTAATTATTTTCTTTATTGGTTATTTATCGTTTTGTGGCTCCGGCTCAGACCTTTTGATATCTTGTCTCAGACTCTGCTTTTAATCATCAACCGGAACTATTTCAAAATTAAACAATTTTAAATTAATTATTAAAGTGCAAAGCAGTTGTATTGTAATACTCGGGAGAAGAAAAGACCCGGGAATAATGATCTAGGCCTGATGTAGCCCTGATGTACATATATTGTATATGTATTTCTGAAAGAAGAAACATTCAGATAAGACGATTTTTGACAAAATATTAAATTCTTAAAAATCAAAAATATTTATGTAATATACATATATAATCATCTTTTACTCAATAAATGACAAAAATTTTTGAAGAGTAAATGTAGAAAGTCATGTGTCAATCATGTTTACGGACACATCTAGCTTTTCAATTTAAATTCATCCATTTTTACTTTTTGACGGTTCAATGCGGATTTTGTTGTATTTTGAAATAATATTTTGAAAATTATTTATCACATGTTCATTAGTTTTATTGGAAACCTCTGGGTTAAAAATTGCATATGAAATATACTCCTCAGCTTCTACAGGTATTTGGAATTCTGTAACCTCCTTCTTAGCATTAAGAAAATTTATTTTGAAAGCTTTAAGAAGTATTTTGAGACGAGCATAGACTAATAGAACTTTTGCTACATTTATGATCACATTCTTAAATTAATTTTATAATTACTAACATTAAACATATTATAAAGAACTCCTAAAAGTTTATCTAATGAAATAAAACATCAAATTTTAGCTATTGTTAAGATAGCTATTTATTTCCTAAAGCTACAAGGTATAACACAACAGTCCTGCAAAACAACTTGACCTGCAACCGTTGTCTATCGACTCAATTCCCAATTACTGCGGCCCTGAAAATGGAACACAAGACTATCTCTTGGACTAATTTGCGGATCCTGTGAAATCTTCGTATATTTGAAACTTTCTAGTAGCAAAGTCTTATTCAGCTCTACGAAACTAAATCATTTACTATTAGAGATTCTTTACTAACCTTTACTTGTTCAATTGTGTCTTCATTTTGTTTTTTCTTCTCCTCTTTAATTAAGAATTCCTTAGGAATAAGTAAATAATCCTCAATATATTGGGTAATATCGATAGAATTTAAGAATAAATTTTTCAAATTATTTTTTCCAGTATAATCCAAAAAATATTTTGTCAATTCGTTTAATTTTTTCTTTAATACATTCTCTACTAAGCTCACAACTTTTATATTATTTACATGATCTTTTAAATCATCAGGCATTTTTCTACTAGGATCCTTGAAGTATTTTGCTAAAAATTTATTTCCTTCTTCATTGATCTATAATTAAAAATTTTAATACTGAGATTATTTTATGCTTTGTGTGGTCACTGTAGTACGTAGTAGCACGAAACGGATTCAAATATACTAATAGAATCATTTAGCCGAGTTGAAAATAAAACCTATTTTCAGCTAGACAAAAATTCGCAGAGATACAGGTTTATAAAATATGAAAAACTATGGGGGAATAAGCTCATTTCTTGTAAAAATTCAAATTTACAATGGTAATTCATTTAAAAGAGCTTGTTAAGCTGAGTCGAATGAGATAAAAATTAACACATCTAGCAAGTTTGGACATCGTTATATACAAAAGTAAACCAAGTAGGCATATTGGAGGCGCGAGACGCTTGTCTCGCGCCAAACATCTTGAGGGTCAAAGTTTGCACTGTTTTATACTTAGTAGCTATATATTTCCCTATCTTGCTCATGGACATATCCAGCTAAAACTGCAGCAGCAAAGGCCTCCACGGACCAAGTAAGGAGATAAAACAAACGATTCTAACTTTATCCAAACTTATCAGATCGTGTTAATTTATATGACATATGACATTTGTGCAAGTTCTTGCGCTATATCTCTGCGTGTTTTTCACATAGAAATAAGTAGTAAGTATATATTAGAAATCAGATAGATGTGTAGAATCGCTTATTATCTCTCATTTATAACAATTATGTTGACTATTATTTCTCATTTATAACAATTACGATGATTGTGTCTTTTAGGTCAATAAATAAGTGTGTCTTTTTGTTCAATAAATAATAAATAAATAAAATGAATTAATAAAATTAATTAAATGCTTACATATAATTTAAAATCACTTAAATCATTTCTCAAAGCAACGGAGTCAACCGCATATTTTATATACTTGAATATTTTTTGGCTAACTCGCAGCAAAAGCTCAATATTTTTCCAAAGATTGTAAATCTGATTATTTAAGATTTAATAATATGTTTTTCTATTTTAATATAAATTTTTGAAGTCAGATCTATTTAACACTTAAACCTATATTCAACAAAAAATCCATAGTATGATGTCACTAGAATTTCCGGCCAGGTATTCTCTAAGATTTTCGGCATGATAGAATTTCTGCTATCTAATTACAATTCTTTTGTCTTAAATAAGTCATATACCCATGGTATTTAGCATAAAATATACATTTATAGTTGAAAATAGACTTTCTTTTTTAAGGTTTTTTACATCAATCCAGTAATTGTTTTCCTTTTTACTGCTTGATGGTTTATATAGATGCGCGAACATTTTATATTTTTGAATTTGTAAATCCTTTTCTGTTAATTTTATATCAATAAAATTTTTGTCAAAATCTTCTTTCAGATTATTTAATTCAGTCAAAATATTTTCAAAATTACTATATGGAAATCCAAGAATTAATTCACGTTTAATTTGAATTAAAAATTTATTGATAGTAGATCTGAGCTTAATTGATGCTTCGTAGAGGTTTTCAGAAATGCTGGTAGATTCTGAAATTGGCAGATTATATATGTACAAAAAGGATGTGTGAATAAAATTCTTAATGAAAAATGTCCACTAAAACATCATCAACTATTTATCTATTCAATAACGTTTCTTTGGCATTACACTTTACATAAAGAATCCTAAATTGGGTGGAATTCAACTAACAAAAAACATGTTTTTTAATTAACGTATAAAAATTTATAATATAAAGTACCTACCTTCACCAGCATTTTGTATTTCTTTTAACTGAAAATTATGTATATGAACAATAAGTAATATTTTTATTATATCAGTTTTTTATTCTATTATAGTATTATTTTATATATTTATTATATTTATTTTTAAATATTTTTCCAAATGTTAGATAGGGTATATATTTTTCATATGGTTAGATTAGATACACCCGAAAATATATAGGTCAGTATTGTAAAACATGTATTATTTAATTCCTGAACCTATGCAGTAGCGGCTTACATAATATGTTCCGACTAAAGGATCAAATCATAACACATCGGTTCGGTCTACAGAAAATACTATAAACTTTTGCATAAGCAAAAGGAGAGAATTAACTATAGCCCAGTTGCTGAATGTGATTTCGGGCAGGCAGTTTCACAAATTTAGCAATTAGTTTTAACCTTTTCATCCGCAATTTTTGACCAAAATTTATTAATTGCGACGAATAAATTAATATAGTTTTGAGTTCTTTTTCTATTTTTAACAAATTCATTGAAACAATGTTTAAGCATTCCTCGATGTCTGTCTTGAAAATCGATCAAATCATTTTGCATGATATTCATTTTCAATGTTCCAACTAAAGGATGAAGCAAATCAATTGTTGAAATTAAAATATCTAGACTAGCTATTGCCGAATCTGCGTTGTAATTATCATCTTTCGTAGATTGAACTTGAAATTGTTAATTTTAATATGAATCAGGCAGGGCCGTTATCGAGAAAACGTAAGTTACATACAAAAAGTTTAATTTGGAAGTATATAGGGAAAAAATTTTCTAATTATAAGTACACTACAAAATTTTTTAAGCTTTTTTAGGCGCCGAATGCACCATTATTTACTATGAACATGTATTTAAAAATTATATTGTCTTCACCTTTAGTTTCCATTTGCCGCAAAATATTTACTTCAAAATTTTTTAATGTTTCAATTACAACTTGCTCGTTGATTCCATTCTCAAAACTAACCTCGAACATTAATAGAAAAAAATAAAAAGCAAATGTCAAATTCATCTTATTTTTCAAAATGAATTTTTTTAATTTATGGAAAATAAATTTTTTGAATAAATGTTAAAAGTTAAAATTTCTAAAAATATTGAAAAACATAATTCATGTAACAATAATTTGCTTCTGTTTGCGAATTCAAAATAAAATATTTAAAATAATAATTGAATAAATTAATTTAAAATAGAAAATATAAATTTTTGAACAATAGAATTGAGAGGATTTATTTTTGAATCCAGACAATAAAATATAGAAGAAAATTAAAAATGGAGAAAATTAGAAGAAAAGCTCATGATTGACTTTAAATGAAAATAATTTACAATGGATAGAAGAAATGCGCACGACTGTATCATGTCTATGTCTTGTTGCTCGCTTATTATTATTGATTATTGACTTGTTTTAATTAATTCTATCAAGTCAAAATAAAAATCCGCAACACAAACTTATGAAAAATCTCTCAATCTAGAGCAAATATTTTTAGGCCGCAAGGGAAATTTTATTATTTAAAAAGGTTGCAGCTTGGATTCAAAGTAATGTTAGGTTTTGTTGAGATTTAAAGTTTGAAAGTATTAACAAACCTTGATCTTGTGTATAATTCTTTATCGGAAAATTTAGAGGAACCCCCTTTAATGTATTACTCTTAAATGTAAATAATGTTTTAATATAACTTATCCAAAATTATACCGGACAAAACAACTATTACTATTTGTTTGGTCTCGTATTAGGTAGAGGATGTTGTTTTCGCCGTTTTTTATTTTCTTGATTGTTTTACTCTCTGTATAGCGATTTATTTCAAAAACACACTCACTAACTGATTGGGCATCGATAAAATAAATGGAAACGTGTAATTTATTGAATAAATGCCAGACGTCTATCGCCTCTTTCTCTCTCATTCTCAATCTGCCTTTAAAATATTATTGATTTAATCTATTATGTTTGTACATAAATTCTGTCCGCAATTAAAAAAATTTTGCGGAGAACAAACTGATTTATTTTAAATTCCGCGACCTGCAATGAGCAGCTCGGACAATATAAAATTTGTAAGAAAATCCTTTGAAAAATTATTTTTAAAAAATTTGAAAAGAATTACCGATTTTCGGGGTAAATTTGCTTCTTTGGTGTGGGATTAGAAGTAATTGCTAGGGTTTAACTGTACGAGAGATTAGTAGTAAGGATATTGATATCGAGTGATAGAATTTGTATTAACGATAAAGGGCTTGGGGTAAAGAAGGATTGAAGATTATTAGCATTTTGGATCAATAGATAAAATTAAATCTCCCAGTTTTCCAAGTCACTGATATACTACTTACAACTCTTGAACTCTTGATATCTCGAAATCTGGAAAGATATTGAAATCAGGAAATATATAAAAGAATAAAGGAATACATAATTATACAGTTAACAATAATTTAAGATAAAAATATGTACAATTATATTATTTATTTAGCTGCAATCTCCTTTTCCATTTGTTTAGAGTTGAATTACAGCTCTAAAAAAGCTAAAAGCATTAATTTAATAATAATATTTTATTAACATTTTATAAAATAATAATTTTGTTTTAATAATATTTTTGTTATTTCAACAAATAAACGAGATACAATTTGCCGCTAACCTCAGTAATCTAACTACAAATTTCAACATTGAACCTAGCCACGACATTAATAATTCATAATAGTCAGACTGAAGGACGAGAAAATATGTTAAAACAATTTCAAGAACTTTTGAAAAATCCTCCACAACCATCTCATAGTTCGTCCTCAATGCTTCCAGAGTTAATAAATGAGAAAGAATCAGGTTTTTAATATTTTTAAATTCATTTGTAAATATTTAATTCAAGAAAATATATAAAAATATTTAGATAAATGTTTTTATAATATCAATCTGTAAAAAATGCTAAATATACTTTGATAAAAATAAAAAGATTATGAAAGAATCTAAACTTATGTGTTTTTTTCAGAATCGGGATCAATTTATTAAAGCTCGAATTTTTAAAAATTTTTATCAAAAATAGAAATGAATTAGAGCGTAATCCCCAAAGAACAGAAAGGATTAAGTTTTCTTTAATTAGCATGTAGCATCTATTTTAAATAATAATTAAAGTGCATAATATCTTTGCTTTGATCAAGATGGTCTGTTTCAGAATTTATTGTATTTATATTTATCTCATTGTGTGGATTTTGATTTAAATAATTATTTGAATGAGTAGTAATTGATATGTTCTCGTTATATTTCTGATAATTTTGATAAATATTTTTTATTAAATTTTTGTAATGTTCTTGTTGATTGCCTCTATATTTTTATTTTTTAATATTTGCTTTTTTCAAATTTATATCTCTAATAATCTTATTACTTTCAATTATCTCTTTAACAATGTCTTGGAGAGATTTTTCAGGCGGTTGACCTTCTAAATTTAGCTATTTCTAAGAATTTAAAGGTTTTGTAAGAATTTTTTACACTTATCTAGTTTATTTATTTATAAAGTAATAAAAGACCTCTAGACAGCTTCCAGTCTTCCTTAAGTTGTCTTGATGCAAGTGCTTCAAGTTTACAAAGTTTTGGATCCTGTTGAAATATATGATCAAGTGTATCTAAATTTAAAAATACTACATATTATTGTGTGTATTTTTTCTCTATTTCTTCTAGAAAGTTGATATGTTAGAACAATTAATATTATAGATATAGATACAATCATTATTATAGTAAACTAACAAGAGGTGAGCTCGTCTCGGTCCTCGCCAAGAACCTCGCCGAGGACCGAGGTCATAATAGTCAGACTGAAGGACGAGAAAATATGTTAAAACAATTTCAAGAACTTTTGAAAAATCCTCCACAACCATCTCATAGTTCGTCCTCAATGCTTCCAGAGTTAATAAATGAGAAAGAATCAGGTTTTTAATATTTTTAAATTCATTTGTAAATATTTAATTCAAGAAAATATATAAAAATATTTAGATAAATGTTTTTATAATATCAATCTGTAAAAAATGCTAAATATACTTTGATAAAAATAAAAAGATCATGAAAGAATTTAAACTTATGTTTTTTTCAGAAACAGGGGATCAGTTTATTAAATCTCAAATTTTTAAAAATTTTTATCAAAAATAGAAATGAATTAGAGCGTAATCCCCATAAAACAGAAAGTGTTAATATTATTTTCTTTAATTAGCATGTAGCATCTATTTTAATAACTGTAGAAAGTAAAGTGCATAATATCTTTGCTTTGATCAAGTTTGTCTGTTTCAGAATTTATTGTATTTATATTTATCTCATTGTGTGGATTTTGATATAAATAACTATTTGATGGGGTGTAATTGATATTTTTTCGTTATAGTTCTGATTATTTTGAGGAAATATTTTTTATTAAATTGCTGGTTATAATGTTCTTGTTGATTGCCTCCATATTTTTATTTTTTAATATTTGATTTTTTTAAATTCATATCTCTAATAATTTTATTACTTTCGATTATCTCTTTAACTATGTCTTGGAGAGATTTTTCAGGCGGTTGACCTTCTAAATTTAAAAATTTCTAAGGATTTATAAGTTTAGTAAGAAATTTTTACACTTATTTAGTTTATAATTTAATAAAGTAATAAAAGACCTCTAGACAGTCTCCAGTCTTCTTTAAGTCGTTCTGAAGCAAGTGCTTCAAGTTGACAAAGTTTTGGATCCTGTCGAAACATATCAAGTGTATCTAAATTTAAAAATACTACATACATATTATTGTATTTTTTCTCTATTTCTTCTAGAAGGTGATATGTTAGAACATAAAGTATGCCTCTGTCATCTTATACAATATCGTTAAAATATTTAAAAAATTCACTCAAGTTTTTTGGTCTAGAAAGTTTGTTGATTTTTTTTGAAAAATAATTAAGGGAATCCGATATTATTCTATATTAATATTATAGATATACCGAGACGAAGTCCGAGGCCCGAAAAAAAATACAATCATTATTATAGTTAGAGTAGCACGATTTCGAGGCTCGATGTGGCCGGGAACCTCATCGATTTTTCATTCTCGATTTTGATTTTGCTGACCTCGGGCCTCGGACCTCGTCTCGGTCCTCGCCAAGAACCTCTCTGAGGAACGAGGCTAAATGTACACATCCTAATAATTGACTATTTTGTCCCATCCACCTCAATCTGGCTTTTTAAGCAAAGATGATACTCGGTCTCGGGTTTTTCAAAAAAACACGACCTCGTGCTACACTAATTATGGTGTCCGGAAAATTGGGCTCTGGAAAATTGGGCTCCAAGATTTTTCGGAAAATTGGGCTCCAACTTTTTGGAAAATTGGGCTCCAGCGGAAATTTGGGCTCTTCGTGAAAAAAGCTGAATATTGGGCTCTAAAATTTTGGGCTCCAGAGGAATTTTGGGCTCTATGGTCGGGGGTCAACGGGGGAAGTTGTTCCGTCAACGGAGGATGTTGTTACGGGGGTCAACGGGGGAAGTTGTTAGAATGCGGGGTCAACGGGGGAAGTTGTTCCGTCAACAGGGGATGTTGTTAGAATAACGGGGGTCAACGGGGGAAGTTGTTCCGTCAACGGAGGATGTTGTTAGAATGCGGGGTCAACGGGGGATGTTGTTCCGTCAACGGAGGATGTTGTTAGAATGCGGGGTCAACGGGGGATGTTGTTCCGTCAACGGGGGGAAGTTGTTCCGTCAACGGAGGATGTTGTTAGAATGACGGGGAGAAAAAAATTGGAGAAAAAAAAACTCTGGAGCCCAAAATTTTAGAGCCCAATATTCCGCTTTTTTCACGAAGAGCCCAAATTTCCGCTGGAGCCCAATTTTCCGAAAAGTTGGAGCCCAATTTTCCAAAAATCTTGGAGCCCAATTTTCCAGAGCCTAATTTTCCGGCACTCCTAATTATAATACAATATTTATAATCAATTATGTACAGACCTGCAATTTTCTTTCCTTTTCCCCCAACAAATCCTGAACAATTGTTGAGCTCATTTATTGTATCTCTTAATTGATCTTCATATCCTTCTAAATAAGCATTATGTTG